CGCCATTGTCGTCGAGGAGGAAGGCTGCTCCGGGGCGTATGACACGAGTTTTTTTCCTGGGTACGTATCCATCAGAGCGGCCACTCGTACCTGATTAAGGGCGACGGGGGCCGCAGCAGGGGGGGGCTGATTACATTTCGGTTGCGGACAGTCCCGTGCAAAATGCCCGGGCTGTTTGCAGTTCAAACATTCGATCTTTCCTGCCGGATTAGCAAACTGGGGAAACTGAGGGGCAAATCCTGGAGCAGGCGGAGCAGGTAAGAGCGGAGGCGATGCAGGGGCAGGTCGAGTAGGAGCTGGGTTAGGCTTGATGAGCCTGCTCATTATTTGTTCCATTCGTTCCATATGAGCGGCCTGCATTTGGATCAGATTGCTCATCCATTCGGACTGCTTAGTAGTAGCCGTATGGATCATCTGGGCAAGGTGTAGATTGGTTATGGCTGGCAAAGGGGGTTCAAGCGAGATTCCGCTTTTGACTGTCGCGATCGAATGATTCACGGGGGGAGAGGAGGACGAAGCAGGCGGGCTGTCGGAAACGGTCCCGCCGGGAAGGTCATGGTCGGGGTGGGGATAAAACCGTTCAACCGCTTGTAGCCATGATCGCCTTTTGGCCGTTACATCCCGTATGGTATCCGTAATGTCTTCGTCTCCCTGGCTGATATATTTTTTTGTATCAGCCAAGTCTAGCTCCAACGCTTTAGTAATGATAGTCGATAACTGTGTTGTTTTCGGCGAAACTTTTTTCTGTAGTTTCCCTTTCAAGGTCGGACTCCGAAGGTGATCAATAAACAGATCTTGAGCAGATTTCTCGCCCCGCCCGGATTTATCCAATGTGGTTTGAAATCGATCAGCGAAATCGGGTAACAATTCCCCTGGTCCTTGGGGTCGATTTTTTAGCACATACCAGGCGGCATCTTCACTAACCGTGTCGAATCGAGCCAAGAATGCACGCTTAAAAGTCTCCCAATCTACCCACGTGTGTTTCCTAAACCAGTCATGCGACGTATAACGAAGTAGCAATGCCAGAACTCTGAACTCGGGGGAGGTCAGTTGCGCTGTAGTTTTGAGCTTCGACAGCTTCTAGCCAAGCCTCGGGATGGGTATGGTTGGGGAAGAAGGGGAAGGGGGCAGGGATGCTAACGATCACCCTAGTACCATCTACCATTGTTGCGGGCGCAGACGCTCCAGACTGAGACCTGTTCACTGGGCGATCTCGACGAGCTAATGGAGGGTCTCTCCTACCTCTCGCTTGTTCCCCTTACTATCATCAGAACCGACACGTGTCGGCTCCGATACCAACCTCACGCCCTGTGCCGTCCTCCGTTCGGAATGTTAGCTGTGCGGAAAAGAGGCCCAGAAAAACAACAAGATGGGGTGTGCCAAGGATTTTTGGAAATTGAGTGTGGGGACACACACAAAACTGAGATCCCCCGTGTTGGTCCGATGAAGCAAGTCGATTGTTTTCGCGCGCAGCGGAAGGTGCGCGCGGGCAAGGTGGGAAGGAGGGAAAATTTCAAATTCAATCCAAAAAGTATTGTCGTGCCTCCCATCGGGCTACCGTCCGTCGTTTAGAACGGAAAGGCTTGGGCACACTTCGTGTACCTCGTTTCCGTATCAAGTCTCGTCGTCGTTCACTGGTTAGTTCTGAGTCCGGCGTGGATGGTCTCAGCCGTGTGGCTCTGAGGGAAGAACTCGTGTCCGCTGATTTGTGCGATCGCTTCTCGTACGTCCCACTCGCAGACACGTGTCTTTTCCTCACTGTAAGGAAAAGGTCGCGTTGGGATGGGAGATACGGGAGGCTGGCCCCCAGTCGGAGGGTACTCGTTGGTCCACATGTCAATCAATCACGAAATATCTTGAGACGTCATTAAAAAGCGTTCCGCGCGTCCCTTAATCAATCTTTTTGACAC